AAAAAATATAACCGTGCTGGTTTATTCAAAGAGTCACAGGCAAGAATTAACATTACACGTCCAGGCATCTTCCACCCCAAAGCCGCTCCCAGCCAGCCCGGAAGAAGCGAGCCCCTGGACCAAGAGAAACCTATATAATTTAATCATTTCTGGGCTAGCCCATACTACGCAGGGCGTCAAACCGTGACGTCACCTGATATGCCAGCCTGCAGCTGACTATAACGTTAGCCAAAACATGAGGAAAAGTCAAGGTGTGTGGCTGTTGTTTTCGTGGTGTGTATCTAAAACAATTTGACATAACCTTACACATTAAGACAAATATTAAGACTAGCATTACAGTTGACACTAACAGCTCTTTGCCTGTAACCTTGACCTGCTTGCAGTCTGCACTGCAAGCACATTACTGAACAGTTAACAGCCTGAGCTAGTCAATCTGTCTCCACTAACATTTCTAGACAACAAATCTCTAAATATCTAACTAGGAAATAACCTAACAGTAATCAACTTTCTATCTAGGTATCCTTGACCATATGCAACCTGCTGCAACTCATAATGCCTAAGCATTTAACAGTCTGAGCTAGACACCCTGTCTACTCTAAACATTTCTAATACATCAAGTATCTAACCAATATCTATCTGACTAAAAATACCTAACAATCAAATTCCACCAAGTTAGGATACTTCCAGAAAGATGTATCTTGCTGAGATATACTCCCATGGTACAGCCATTTGTTGCCATGGCGAGTAATCCCCTGAAGGAATTTGTCAGGAGGCATTCACACCTCAAGGACCATTTGCATTTTACACCTTTGCACAACTCTGCTGTCCTCATGGTCCTTTGTCTCAACATTGATTGGTTGTTTTTTTTTTTTTTAAACACTTCAGAAATCCTGACATCTATTGGGACATTACCCAGTCACTTTCCTGTTGATATTATTTGATTGGTCACACTTTATTTAGCCCAGCCCAAGACTTTCCTGCTTAGTGACTTGGTTATTGGGCAGGTATTTACACCCCCCCACACCCCCCACTGTAACATACAACCCCCGCACCCTTTAAAAAATGAGAATGGAATTGATTCAGAAATGTTTTTATTAAAATTAAACCAAACTCTAATATACAAAGTAAGAATAAGGGAAAACAGAAAACATGGGGAAAAAAATGAAGGAATGTGCAATTATAATGGTGCAAATAAATTAAAAGCAATACTAAAACAAACGCATGCACCAGTGCTTGTTAGAAGTCCAAAAATGAATGTCCTTCAGGTTCAGTTTCATCAACTCTTACACGGTATGTAAGAGCGTAGCGCATATCCGCCTCCAGTCTGCGCTGCAGCCGCTGGCAAAGCTCGGACAATTATAGGCTCCTGTGGGGTGGAGACCTCACAACCCACACCGGTCTTCCATCAACAATGGTATCCTCCTCATCGGACATCAGTTCCAGCATTGCAGTCTGCCACAGTTCTCTCTCTGCATCTGTTTGGACTCCAGCAACTGCAAAGCACACCATATTGTAATGACCCCCGGCGTGGAGGAGAGAGATTGACTAGACAGGAACAGCTAAAATAGCTAGCAGGGCGCCAGCACCCATGC